ACGAAGTAGAGATTTATTTCACGCGTTAAATATTATCACGAGGACCATACTTGGAATATTTTACACATTTCTGCGCGAATTCATTACATGCGACCTGTGCACGTTTGCGCTTTTAAATTTCCCATAAACGGCGAAACTTAACAAAGTTTCGCAGTCTAATTACAAATAACTGCAGTTGCTTCGAAAATTGTAGGTTTTGCGTAACATCGTCAATATGGGATTTTCGTTCAAACGACGATAAGACAAAATATAAAATTTCACTTGGCAACAGTAAGTTTCCGAATACATTCATTGTCCGACCATAGAAAAATTGCTATATCGGGAAACGAAATTGATCGCCACCATTTATAAATAAACTATCGCTACCGCATTTTTCGTTTGTATGTAAAATATTGCGAACGTACGCGTGCAAAAACACGCGGTGTATCAGCCGGTTGACGGAGGAAAACAGTTGCAAACCAGACAGTTGATTACAAAGTGCATTGTATTAATTTATTGCATGCTAAACCATGAAAGCCACTTACGAACAATCAAAAAATACTTCCCGGAACAAATCCACCACTTGTTCAAATCATACCTAAACAACAGAACCTTTGCAGTAAAAATAAAGGATGTATGTTCTGAAGTAAAAGACATTAAGGCAGGGCTACCAACAGCAAAATACTGATATTCACGGACGACACAGCTGTACTAGTCAGGCACACCAATGCAGAAACAGCAGTCACATTGCTACAAAAGCACATCAGAAAAATAGAAATATGGTTACAAGATACATTACATTGTACTATACCTTTTTATCAAATATTTTTGTCGAAATCTAAACTCTGCTTTGCTACACGTTGCTTTTGCGTAGTCCAGTATTTGTGTGCAGACATCGTAACCGCACTCTGTGGAAAATCATTTTGTTGGGTCTGGAGATTTTGCAAAATATCGCCTCTTCTGTCGATATTGGAAATCTGACTCGCGTTTAACGCGTACATTAATCACGTATTACCACGCCTGCTGCTTGTAATTCGCCACACAGTAGAAATTGGTGTACTGGCTTTTAACGCACGTTCTAATAGGAACATGGAAATATGTCGATGATGATTTGTGATCGTTTTATGCAAAACTAACATAACCTAATCATCGTTTGTAGTTACGCAAAAGTATTTGGTTGTTTATCACATATTTTAAATAACATATCACATTACGAACTGTTACTCAGCGAGATTTATACAAATTTGAAAGTGCACGTGTATAATCCTACGCTTCAATGATTCCGGTTACAACTCACGATTTATCACTTTGCAAATGCAAAGCGTTGTTCGCGATAAGATTTCACGACATGCCGCAGCCAGCTATTCCCAGTTTACGGTCTCCAACACAACGGTTTCAATTTCGATTCGTAGACTAGCCGCGTCTTCTGTGCGCCAACCGTCGACTTTTCCCTTTGCCCATCCACCCATTCAACTTTCCCTTTTGATCGCGTAAAACGTTGACAACTGTCGTCTCGTCTATCTGTATGCATCGCGGATGCTTTTTCAATTTCTCGCTGTATGCTCTTTAAAGTTCTTTAAATCTCGAGTCTCATATGTGAGCACGCAGCATGTATTCGGACAAAGTATATCACATGTGATCATTATACGAGGCTGGAGAAGTTTCTTCGTAATTTTCCTTCTTTTCTTCGTCACTTAAGACTCGTTACTTTTCTGTATTTTATAATGTTAATAGCACTCGTGATTATTCGAATGATATGTACAGTGGCTGAGGAAAGTATTCGAACGCTTACACTTACAAATTTCAATTAGTAAAATGAGGTGTAATAAACTAATTTGTTAAAACAATTTGGTATCTTCACACAAATGTATTCGAACGCTGTAACACTGTTGATAGTTTTTCATCTTCGTTTGCACCGAATGTAAACATCATTGCTAAATAAAAATATTGGTACGTTCACTTGATGTTAAGATGTCATTTCAGTAACAGTTACTACCGTTCGCGGAGAGACGCGATCGCGAGGGGCGTAAATTCTCGCTACGATTTTGATAGTCGCGAACCAGTCGTTCCCCTGTTTCGATTAGGATAACAGAGGTAGTTCAAATGATCGTAACACTGAATTAACAGGGTTAATATACGCTTCCATGTTTAACAATATTTAAAATTATAATTAACACGTTACAAATGATTTAACGATGATACAACTAGTTTATTATTATAATTCAACTCGACATATTAGTTTGACTAAGCGAACTTGATTTTATTTCTCTGAACCTTTCGATGCATTCGGTTTGAATCCTCGTATAATACTGATTGCCCTTCGATTTTTTCCTTTGTCTCCTCTTGGAGACGACTCCCACCACGCTCGGGTCCCGCAACCGTTCGCGCCTATGATCACGTATGCCACCTTTTTTTGTGTAGGTAAAATACAGACCGAAGGCGAACGATGTTTTTTAGAACTCGCTGCTGGACGACAACTATGCGCTTATCGCTATATTGTGTATACCTCGCCGGTCATGTAAGACGATCTATCTGCGACACTGTAGTACCAAGGGAGACGGTTAGGAACACGGCTTATAGTAAGCCTCGGGGAGTAACAGACGGTAACGTAAAAGTAAAACGTAAAAGTAAAATACCAAAAAGTGTGAAACAGAAAGGTGTGAAAGAGAAATAATATTCCAATTACATGAGGACGGCAAATCATATAACGAGATTGCCGGAATTGTGAACAGAAGTAAGTCCACAATATATTATATCATAAAAAGTGAAAGAATGAAGGAACACCTGCAAACAAAGCTCGATCAGGTCGACCAAAGAAATTGTCTGGAACAGAGGAGAAAGTTATCATTCGCGAATTAAAAAAATCCTACTGCATCCGCTCCTCGACTCGCAATTATGGCAGCTGATATGTTTCATGAAGAAGTTCACCCGGAATTATGTCGACGAATCTTACGAAACAATGATTTTCATTACCGCGAAACAAGCCATATATTAATGCGGTAAATCATAAAAAAAATTGACTTTTGCAAAAACCTATATTAATAAAGATAATTCTTTTTGGGACAAAGTCATCTTTTCGAACGAGTCAAAGTTTAACATTTTTGGCCCGGATGGTCAAAACTATGTGTGGAGAAAACCAAATACAGAATTAGACATTCGACTTTTACATCAAACAGTGAAACACGAAGGTAGATCGGTTATGGTGTAGGGGTGCATGGCTGCCAGTGGCACCGGAAATTTGATATTTATTGATGGAATACTTGATAAATATAAGTAATTAAATATTTTAAAAACTAACCTTAAAGAAAATGCCTGTAAATTAGAATTATTGGAAGATTTCCATTTCCAACAAGATAATGATCCTAAGCATACTGCTAGAATTGCGAAAGAATGAATCGTATATAACACACCACGCATGCTAATTATTCTACCGCAAAGTCCAGACATAAATCCGATTGAAAATTTATGGGCTGGAATCGGAAAAAGATTAAATAAATTTCAGGTAACCACAAAGCAAGTATTGAAAGATAAAATTATAGAAATATGGAACTCCGTTGAGTGTAATTTTACAAAATCATTGGTTTACAGTATGGAACGTCGATTGAGACACACTATCGCTGCTAAAGGTAGTCCAACAAAATATTAATATTAAATAATTTAATAATATATGTAGCGTTCAAATACTTCTGTCAGTCACTTACAATGCTTGTTTCTAATAAATGTATCAAACTCCTACCTACGTCGTTGAATCCTTTTCAAATTTTGCTGACATAACCTCAAAACTTCCATCGTCCTACTGACATCTGCTTGTCTAAGCAAATTACTTTAATGTACATTATTTCGGCCATTCAAGTTTGCATATTTAAGCGTTCAAATACTTTCGTCAGCCATTATATATCTCTTGAATAATTCAAATTTAATACATTTCGTTCATAGCTGTAACAAAGTAATCGTATGAGCGAGCAACTCTTACCTCATGTGGTTCTAAAAGTCTATGACGAACATAGCTTAGAATTTCAAGTCTCTGCGAATGAAACAACATTTCTTAACCTCAAAATTCCACTTTTTAGTAGAAAGAGGAAATTAATAACTGCTAGATCGATGCGTGTCCTACATTAATATTAATATACTGTTACTACATGCTAATGTATCTAATATATTTTAATTTATTCATTGTATCTCTCGACATATTTATTTGTATCCATTAGAACCATCAAACCATCCATCTTACATAGAATATCTGTTTCTTGTTTCAGGTGAGTGAATCCATTGCTCGTCAAGGTAGCGTCGATCCATTAAGGTTTAAGTAAGTTCTATCCTCGCCTTACTAAAGTCGATCACTTTTGCAATCTGCCGTTATCACGGCTAACGGGACAAGTACAGTTAACCGATAATCTCGAAGACTGGCTGGAACCTTGGCAAAGAAACCGGTCTCTCGCGCGAATGTCCCTCGCTCCGCCCCGATCAAGACATTATCGATAAAGACATTGCCTCGATCGGTTGTCCTCGCTCGTGCGTTCTTGTTAAGCTCCGAGAAACACGTCCATTCGCCACACAATGTATTGAACCTGAGGATCGTTTCGTGTCCAAGGCTTAAGACGCTCGAGGATCAACAAGGTCCTATTGCTTCTGTACAAGGTGTTCCGTATTGCAAGGAGACTGGAAGCTCTGAAGCGGTTGGAACAAACTTTGAAGCTGTTGTAGATCAGGTCCTTTTTCACTATTTTGCGGCCCATAAAATAGACATTTCTCTAAAGAACAAAGAGGATACTTTTTTAAAGAGCTTAAGTTAAGCATTTGCTTATTTAGCAATCCTCTGGTATCTACTTTGAGTTTAAAAAAGACAGATATAGGGCGATACAATTAAGGTGATTCTACATGAGAAAATAAATTGAAAATGTAGGTTAGAATTTTTTTTAGGTTAGAATTACCATGGAGAATATTAACTTGAAATATTTGTCTGTACTTAACTGTGTCTCAGCTTAGCGGAGAACTTGATGTTAATTAATATCTGTACTTACTTCCGCTTGTTTTATTTCAGTTTGTGTTTATCTTGTTAGAGAACACACGTTAGAGAATATTTCAGTTTTCTGGTCATTTACTTTATGAAATACTCGAGCAATCTTTCCTTTCAATTGTTCAAAACTTGTAATTTCTTCAGAGTACAATTCGTTCATTGTCTAGCAAACAATTGTTTAAAATAAATTTTCCCAAAAACCAGAAGATGTTATTCTACATTTTTTATTTTTCTGATTTTTTATTTTTCCACGTAGAATAACTTTCTTTTTGGTCGCGCCCAATTGGTTACAAGACACCCTGTATAATAATTTTTCAAACCTGGTCATTTCAATGGTAAACGTATTTTACAACGCACGTAATATTTGAGCGTGTGTTTTCTTTGTTCAATTTGTCAAAGCGGATCAGTAAAATGTCCGCTTGTCCTTGATGGGCTTATGGCGATTTACTCGACGTTTATTAACGCGATAAAGCGTATTAAATTGTTTATTCGCGAAGGTGGAAGGATCGTGGCTAAGGTTCTGATCCAGAAAGCCGTGAAAGTGGAAAAACGAGAAAGATAAGGATTTGTCGAGTGGGAGAATGGAAGGACGCGAAATCACGACACGACGTACGAGATGTGGGAGTAGAGTGAAGGTTTTCGTTCCTTTTTCAAAGTAAACTGCGAGATGTTTCGTTGGAATGTAGCAATCGAGATTTCGTCTAAAGTCTGTTGCAATATTCTCAAATGTACAATGAGATCTTCTACTTTCTGTGTACTCGCTTATTTTTATTCTTCAAAATCACTTTAGACTTAAATCTTATCTTCTTAAATCTAAAGATGTCGAGGGTTGTTCGGAGGATCCAGAATATAGAGATCCGTGCTTTTTTTAATTATTTAATTTGTACTTTACAATTTGTTCAACTGGACATTTGGTAAATTTTTCTAGCATTATTGCTAAATAAAAAAAGTGGATGGCTAACCCCAGCGGGATACCATCTTCGAATTTGACTATTTTATTTCTTTAGTGAGGTTAGTGGGCTGTTTTCTTTTTAGTCTTCTTTCTATCAGAGTTTTGCTCGCTTCAGCAGCCAGCTGGTTTGGATGTGTTGCCGTTCTTTCATTGTATTTTTCTGTGTACCTGCCGATTTCTTCTTTCACCGTTGGTATTTTCAAGTCTTTACGTATATCCTCGTTTCTGACATACCAGAGGGCGTTCGCTATTGTTCTCAGTACATTCGATTGTAGCGACTCTAGTTTATTTATGTGGCTCATTGCTGCTGTCCCCCATAGTGGCATTCCGTACGTCCAAATTAGTTTTATTATCGTTTTGTATATTTTTAGTTTATTTTCTATGCTGAGTTTAGAACTTCGACTAGTTAACCAGTACATTTGTCTTCTTTTTATCCGTATTTTGTCTATAATTGATTTAGTATGTTGCTTCCATGTAAGTTGTGTGTCTAAGTGGTGTGCTGGATATTTAACTTGCCTCGTTTGTGTTATGTGCGTGCCATTCAATTGGATATGTGGTGGTTTCCATTTTCTTAGTGTAAATGTAATATGGTTGCATTTACTGGGGTTTGCTTTTATTTGTTTATCTTGTAGCCATTTTTCTATTCTTCTGATGTGCTCTTGTGGTAATGTGACTGCTGTTTCTGCATTAGTGTGCCATGTGGCTAATGCAGCCATGTCATTCGCGAATGTCAGTATTTTGCTGTTGGTAGTTGTTGGTATGTTGGCTATGTATAGCGTATGTAATATTGGTCCTAAGACGCCTCCTTGCGGTAGCCCTGCCTTGATGTCTTTTACTTCAGAATATACATCCTTTATTTTTACTACGAAGGTTCTGCTGCTTAGGCATGATTTGAGCAAGTGGTGGATTTGTTCCGGGAAGTGTTTTTTGATTGTTGGTAGGAGGCTTTCACTTTGTCAAATGCTAATCATCTGCTATTAGACGAATTATCGCTTGCGTTCAATTTGCCGAAAAGTTTCCGACTGAGTCGAATGTGGAGCAATGTTATTCTATTTTACCGACAAGACAAATTCAAAGAATGATAAAACTTTGCGTGCGAGTAAAGTAAAGTATCTTATCCGTAATTCTAATACAAAAGTCACTTACAGATGTAAAAACGGGAGTTATCAAAATTTTATTTACACATTTTGGTTAGTAAACACAATAGAACAATACAAGTTTAAAACCTCATTTTAGATGTCTTTCATGGTTCTTCAGATATTTCACGAATAGGAAAATTCCAAATTTTTCCCGAAGGAAATAATTCTATTCCTTAAAACCGAATTGTGGCACCAAAGAAAAATAGGGTTGTATTGTACGGACGACGTACTTGTACACAAAGTTTCATAATTTTTTGCATTTCCGAGTTGCCTAATCTTCCTCGTGAGTGAACAATTTTGAAGAAACAAAATCATAGTAATTTCAGGAAGCAATTAAATTGTTATAATATGCATATTATTTTTATTACGGATTTTTTTATTTTCGTATGATAAACAAGGAAAAGAAAAATATCTATATTTACTGACATTTTTATCGATGCACAATTCCAATCTCTCCAAATATATTCCAATAAAAATTCCTACATATCAATTTTCCATTGCATCCTCGCTTAACGTTCCAGTTCTCCTTACTATCACCATCTCTCGTAGAAGATATCCACGTTAGAAATTTTCCGTGCATCTTTATATTTTTGAAACGAATAAACGCTGCCAATCGCGTTTTTAACAATTTAAAGCATATATTGCGATGCAAAATATTCGTTAGAATAAAATGTCGTACAGTTGGCAACTAAGCGATTGCTGTTGTCATTAGGTGGTAATGACAAAATCCGCAATCACTTAATTTCCAACTCAATATATTCTTTTTTCTATATTCTTTGGCCTTGTTATATTTCTTGAGCTGATAACTCTTAAATCTATTTCATTTATAAATGTGTATGTTGTTCAAGTAGTCGCTTGTTTCTCATTCGGCTGTTGCCAACTCTTCTCAAGTTGCAATATTCGCAAGGAGGAGGGGTATTCGGAATGTATTTAATTCAACAGTAAATCCATAATAAAAATGAAAGGAAAATAGGCAGGAAGAAAAGACGAGAAACAAAGAAAACGGTCGAGTTTATTATCACAAAACGCAATTAGATTAAAATAACTGAAGTAACAAAAGGGGTTAAGCTTCCATTAAATGCAGAGGGCAGCAGCGGAAACAGCATACGAACACGTACAACGATCAACGTAACGATTAAATTCATTTATCGAGTCGATTCGAGGCTCAGAACCAATTATTTCCTCTGCGGTTGATCCTCATAGAAAAAGTTGATTCTGTATCCGTCCAATTCAATGTTCGTACGTTTCTCAGGAACGGGTCAATGACGAATATGAAGGATATGACCGACAATGCTCTAGAAAGCTCCATGAAAACCACCATAATAATAAAAAAAAGAAAAAAAAACAATTCAAAGTAAAAATTTCCTTTGCAAAAAGATAAAAATTCGCAAAGAGAGAACTATCTTTCTTTCCCTTGCCCCTGTGCCGCCCCACTAATAATCTTGTTGCCAGCTTCTACGAAGAAGCCCAGAAGCCTATTCGTTTGCCTTGAGAACCGAAATTATCGTCTGTGCACCAGCTAAACACAGAAGCCAAGCGCATCATTATCACGCTAAGTGGAGGGATGAAAAGTTGGCGGCGCACGCGTGTCACGGTGTCATCGACGCACCTCTGCACGAGTACACAAATAGCTCATTATGACTGCAGCCTGCACTTGCACCCGTCGTGCGCACAACGTAATTCGGGTTAATGATCGTGTGTACGCTCGTGCTCTCGTACTTGTACGCGAAGCAGCACTCGACAACTTGGCCCGGACCAGGCATTCCACTCTCTGGCCATTAGCAAGTGTAATGCCGGTCGTGGTAGCACCACGTTTCTTTGCAACTATCTCATAGTGGCAACTAAGGGACTGGGGATTTGTCAATACCACCTAACGTCAAAATCCGCAATCACTTAGTTGCCAACCCAATATGGTAAAGACGAACTGTGCCACAATTTTTACTGCGAATACTTCACGTTCCAGTGAACAACAACTATTCGTTTACAGTGAATATTTAGCAGCGCCCTAAGAAGCGAAATAATTTGTACGCGAGGAAAGCTACTACATATACACGTACTTATGTGTTAGTGGACATATTTTTCATATACGAATAAACAGAAATATTCGCAAGAGAATCACCAGCGAAATTGGCGTATGTTTACGGAACGTGAAATGTTCGCTGTAAATATCAGGTTGACAACTAACCGATTGCGGATTTTATCATTTGGTGGTATTGACAAAATCTGCAATCACTTTGTTGCCAACTTAATAGTTCCAATCCTCTTTTGCTTCCATTGCTTCTTTTCTAGTCATCTCGGTTCGTCCCTATCATTCGTTCTCCTTTAACAATGTTTTCTAGCAGTTTTTTCCCTCTTCTTTGTTGGCGGGACGATGAGTCATTGGGGACTTTGACGAAAGTGATTAGAAATATGATAGTTTGAGGAGGTGGGGGTGATGGTAAAGTGGGGATGAGTGCCATGGTCCTTACGATTGCAGCTTCTTTCGTTATCTTTTTAACAAGAGTCTGGTAATAATTGTTAAGAATTATGTGGGTCTCGTTGGTAGAATTAATGGTAACTTTTATTCTTAATAAACTAACATTTATGTTTACTACGCTGTTTTGATTGCCTATGTAGTTTTATTATATCGTATTACCGTAGATCGTTGTGTAAGTCTGGTACTAAAATGTTACCTATCGATCTTTACAAGATTTTCACAAGAAGAGCTTGCAAGCTTTAATCCTTTTCACTGCAAATTTTATTTCAATTTCGTTACCAGCAGCTGCCAACGCTTTTAAGTGCTTTATTTGAAATTTATTTTAACTGAAAAATAAGACAATTTAAATAAATAAAATGAAGAAACAAATTCACTGCCAGTTTTATTCACACTATTGTTGTATTTTGTAATTGTTAAGAGTATAATATATCTTGAAACAATTTCCAGGATGCAATCCTGCTTTACCTTCGCATGTTTTTCAAAGAAAGATGAGACTCGACAAAGGAGCTCCTGAGATAAAAACTGATGTCGAATCATACTCGACATAGCAGTGCAAAGGGTTAACAGCGATAATTATTAATTCACATCTTTGTATAATATATCGATGACTGTTTAAAATTATATTTGATAACGAGTAGTTGTTATGATTATAATTTTTCTCGTTATCTTTTTAAAATACTATCTGGAAATATTTATTTTAATCTGTTCTGTTTAATTAGTTTCTATTAAATTAATTAAATTAATTAAATTAATTGTTCTATTTAATCTATTTAATTAATAAATTTTAAATATTTATTTTATTATTTTAATCTTAAAATAAACCAGAAACGTTTGTAGATAAATATCTTACAGCTTTTAACACAATTATAAACATTACCTTACGACAATGAACGCATGTTGGTGTATATTTTTGAAAAATACTCGTAAGGTCAACTTGTATTTCTACCGAGATCTTATTCGCTGAGAAAAGAAATTATTTAACGAAATGGTAGCGTATTACCTGCGTTATGTAAACCGAGACCCTGACCTAAGTTCTACCGTATCCTCCCGTGAGATTTAAAGCGGAGAATGCGTGGATTTTCAAGTCAGTGGACACAATGAATTTACCTTCTCTCCGAACGAGTATTTAGAAGGCGGATCACAGAACAACGCGAAATAGAGCTACTGAGACACGATGCTTCTTGGAAATGCGAAATAGACTTTCCACGGTCGTAGAATAAATCAACATTTAACTTAAATCGCTTAGAAAGATGTTTGTACTCCTCGATGTTCTCCACTTTGAAATTTCAATACTATATACGTGTAGATGTACTCTTCATCATTCATCTTCATAATTTACGATATCTCCCATATTACAATTTGGCAGTTGCACGTATGCTGCACAGTTGAACGCTTTACCTTTTCTTTTTCCTTACTTTCTATTTGCTTATCTATGTTTTAAAACTATTCAGCTTAGCTCTATATAAAAAAATATGTATTTATGTTGCAATTCGTTTGAAGTGGATTAAACGTGTAGGTGTATTTAATTAATAACGTAACGAATGGACGAATTCGTAATAGTCAGTGGTATAAAAATAAGTATAAGCACGAGAGATAGTGTACGCCAGTTATAATCGTCACTCGCTCAATGCTACTATACCGATCGAATAAAGGATAACAATAATCTCCTAGGGGGCACGTTCATCCATTTATATCGACAGACGGTAGTACAAAAAGTTAATATTCTTATGTAACTCCGGCTGAAGATTATAAGAAACGGCAATAACAATCTGTTGGGAGTTCGTTTGCCTCTAGAACTTGCAAACCAAAACAGTCGTTAGTATTCTGTTGAAGTAATTACTTCAAGAAAAACTCTACATCTTTGCTTTTGTATATCCGTGACCTGGAGAAGAGAATAGAATTTAGTGAAAAAATTCCAAATAACAAGAGATACATATTATTGTGCTCTTGAATATAAATTTTGCTTTGGATTACAAGGTCTAGAAACAAAAGAGCTATAAGTAGATTTCTATCGCTGTTTCTTGTAGCCTTCAGCTACAGCTACACACAGAGGTTAACTTTTTGGTAATGTCCTTTGCTATAAATATATGAACGTGCTCCTTATTCTTCTTTTTATTGTATTGTAACACTATAAGAGTGCAGATCTTCATCAGCATACACTATACTTATACCTATACTTGTTTCAATATACTTTACTGTTCCACTTCATCCACTCGTTCCTCTATCACTTAACCTCAACGATATCATACATCAAAAATACAATAATGTGGGTCTCTCGCAGATTCCAATTTTCCGTTGACTTTTCTACTCTCATGTGCAGCTACATCACTCCTTTAACAGTGATAACGTTTTTTTCTGTTTTGTTTGTTTTACAAATGTTGTCGCAGATAGATTTTACATACCAAGCGAGTTCTATTGTTTTTAATAAATCAGCACAACAATAATTAAGAGTATAATAATTAAAGAGAATAATAATTAAAAAGAATCCATAGTCATTTTTATCCCCTTGCTTTAGAATAGCATTTCATCTCTGATTATAGGTTATAATTTGATAAATTTTTTATACTTTTTGATACTATTTTGATACTATTTGATAATATTTCTTTACACCTAGCAATTTTTGTTTGAAACACCTTTGATTACAATTTTTAGTTTGTTTTTTAGAATCATCGTTACTAATTTCCTTGAAATTCTTTGTCAAGTAGAAGTTCGTTACAAAAGTAGAAACAACATGTTATAATGTTCAAATAGACTCAGTTCACTTCGAGTTCATTACCCTTCATTTCTTCAATCCCGCTGGATTAATTCTAAGCCTGTTAGTTCACAGAAATTTAGCAAATTACATTCTATGTATTCAGAAAATTGTTCTCCCTCGAAGTCAGTATTATAATTAACGTACGACTTAAAAAAGCTATTTTACCGCGTCCTTGTGACATTATTTGTATATACATTTTTCCATCCATAAATTGTATCTTTTGGATACAATCAATTATCTTAAATCGAAGTTAATCTTAACAATTTACCGACCGCTGGCGATTCAACAACATACGCACGTCCGACCGGCATCTCAGGCGCAGATTCTCCCTAGCGCCGGCTCTGTTTCGGTTTAGACTTTCCAATACCATTCTTTTTGCTCTTCGCGAACGATACGTTTTTCAAAGTGGTATAAAACTGTGAGAGCTTACAAAGCAACGCAACTGACGCAACTGAGCAAGATACCATAATACTAAATAACAAATTACTGCTCAAATAATGAGCATTAATATCGGTCGGTAAGCGATTGATTACCGATTAATCGGCTATTGGTCGGTAAAGTATTAAACTACAAATGTAAAACAGCCTACAACACATCCATTCCATATTCATACGAAGAAACTTGCTTCGTTTATAATTATCGCTCGTTTCATCGTCTAAATTCCAACAACTGTTCGCCAGTATTACCCTCTTACCGCGAAAATGCCACACGAGACTGACAAGCCTTCTTGAAACTTGATGGCAATACTCCTCCACGCTGAACATTAATTAGCAATCGTTCGTTATTCGAGGACGACACTTGTGAACCAATACTTCCTATTGTCATTAATTATTGCTCGTTAACGATTAATTACTCCGCGGTTGTTTTCCGTTGGAGATGAAGCCAGGTGCAAGGGACAAGCAGAAAAGGCAAAAGAACGTGAGAACGAAATTTCTGGATATCGAGATCTGTGTTAGATAAATCCGTGGATCGATTGGTGAACGCGAATATTCGCTTGTATATTTGCTCGTATTGTCATTAATCGGTTGGTAATTAGCGACTGCTAATTGTAGCGTTGTTTCTCGTTGAAACGCGATAAAAGCTGACTCGAAAACGAAGTTGAAAAAGCTGCCCGGGGAATGATGGAACCAGCTTCCTGAAAATTAGCCTTTTTATGAACAATCGGTAATTGATAAGTAATTGCTTCAAGTTTGTAATTAGATCACTAGATTGCACACCGATTTACAAGTATATTTTCTTTCTGTCTGTTGTGATATTTTAGTAGTAGAAATCTGAAAAATTCAATGAACATTTTAATACAGTTATAAGTAATATAACTAAGATACAAGTAATTAACTGCACGTTTGCATGTAAACAATTATTAAATAATGATAGAAATTGTTTGAAATGTCGTAAATCATTGTTACGAATTCTGGGATATTATAGTGTGATAGATACTGAATTCTCCATTTATTTTTGCTTTATAATTAAGAGATGGTAGTTCTTTTTTTATTATTCATATGTTTACTTATTAACATTCTTTTTTTATTATTCATACGTTTACTTATTAACATGGTATAGAGAAGAGGCGAAAAAAGAGGAGGAAAGAGAAATTAAAACGTCTAATGTTTCAAAAATGTTTAGAGGCGAGCAGCTTTGGTGCTAGGCAACGTTATCGCTAAATCGTATCCCGTTTATTATTCCTCTGGTATCGCCAGTAACATTCCCTTTGTGCTGCAACTCTATGTATGTTCAGAAAACCGATATCCATCGGTCATCAAACCATAGTAATGCGATCTCGAACGCTCTCTCTTACCTGCAGAACATGTTACGATAATTTGAAAAATTCCTTTCTAGATACGTAAAGCTAGGAAAAAGAAATCTAATAACAAAGCAGAACTTCGTTCGAGGAAAAATATATGAAAATAAATGCAACAATGAAAGTAAAGACTGAATACAAGCTGTATATAGGAATTTTTTATTTATCCTATATAATAAGTTTATTGATCGATAGATCTATTTGCAATGGATTAGACAAGAAACGATGGTTACTTAACGTGAACTAAATACAGTAATGTGCTATAACTAAGACAACTAAATAGTTAATTCACAACTCACAACTATTGTAATAGTTTACTACTCATAACAACTCGGCAACTCAACTCTCCACTCCTCACAACTCGACTCCCCCCACTCGACTGTCAACTCACGACTCTTCTACTCGACTCCTCCCCACTCGACTCCCCGGCAGAACTGCCAGGCCCTTTTTGGCCTAACGGCACTTAGGGCTTCCCGCAATATTGTTTATGATACGCCAGATATTTCTTAGGCCATTTGCTACATATACGTTACTTAGTTTCTGTACTTTAAATAGTTAATAAGCTTACGAAGAAGTATAAGTGATTTTGGAAAGTGAACTAACAAGTGAATAGATCTAAGAATAAAGTAAAAGTATACGTGAGATCTTCTACGTATATATTTACTAAGTTAACAATTTATCAAGATATGTTGCGTATGTCAAATGATAAACATTGTTCATTTTGGAAGATCAAATGTAAATGAGTCAGAGAATCAGGTGAAGATACAAGCGAGCTCAGCTATATCGACTGTGTATATTTTAGTAAGTTAATCAAATAATTTAACAATTTAATTTATATATGTTAAACGATGCGATTAATTTCGTGGAATTGAATAAAAATAAATGAAAATATCGAAGTGGTATCAATCGTGCTCACCGATTTATTTTATTTTTAAGAAATTTAACCATACCATCAACAGATACATTTACTTTTGAAAACTAAAATAGTATCGAAATTTGGATAAATTTGTAGCGCCATATGAGCGTAGAACAAGTCAACAAAAGTACGAGAAATAAGTACGTCACGCGGCCAGGAAAATTTGCTTTGCTCGTCGATTACAGGCATAGTTTTGTTAAGTACAAGTACAGAGATAGTGCATGTCGTAATCGTGGCTCGCCCAATGTTACTATTCGACTCTCTAACTGTTCGCTATTCTTCTAACAATTCCATTATGTGTCTGACTGTCCCAGAGTTCGTCTATTTGTATGGACCGGTGTATTACAAAAAGTTCAAATGTAACTATAAGAAAATATACACAGAAACAGAAAGAACAGAATTAGCCCACAGAACATTAATATAGATACATTTTCCAGACGTTTTTATCATCTATCTTCAAAGCGTCGCCCGCTCGCTATAGTTGAACTCTTATCGCAGCCTCTCTCTGGCCAACCACCGATCCTCCGTAATGGAATATCGATTCTCCGTGTTTGGACGGTCAATTTTCCTGTCACGACACGATGAATTGCTCGCTAATGATAGCACGGGCTCGCCAAATAATATTCCTGCGATTGCAAAATCGTCCTCTCACGCGATATCCTCCAAAAGCCAAGGTATTCTATGACGAGGCGGTGTGAATCAACGATTTTTTATTTACCAGGCGATTACCAATAACCTGAGCTCTGAAACATTGTTGAAAACCACGCGAAACATTTCCCAGAACAGTGACAAATTACAGTACTCATGTATTGCGTTGGCAACTAAATGATTGCGGGCTTTGTCATTACCACCTAATAACAAAATCCGCAATCACTTAATTGCCAACCCAGTAATTAACGCGAGGGACGTGTATACTCGTGCAAATGAATAGAAAACAAACGATTAAGAGGAAGTTCGATGTGAATCGTACGTACATTAAAAACAAGGAAACGAAGGAAATACGGCAAGTAGCGGTTATTGTTGAATGCCATTATTAATATTACTGTTACCTTTTGTCCGGTAGAAAATTTCTATTTTATCGATGCAATGGAGTAGCAAGCAGCTGGCTGGTGAAAATGTGCACAATGTATAGTTTAATGATTAACGAAGAAATAATCGGTTCCTCTTGAAATTGGTCGTTCGTTAAAATGACATGAATTCCACTGTACAATTCCTATAGAGTTGTATTTAAAACATATTTGTTAAAAAACGAATTCAGACGAATTCAATTGAGAAGAATAAATGTTTCTATTGGGTAGGCAACTAAGTGATTGCGGATTTTACCATTAGATGGTAATGACAAAATCCTCAATCACTTAGTTGCTAACCTAATATAATAAATAACGAGACAGAAACATCCTTACGTTTCAATAACGTACATATGTTCTGTTCATAGTAGAAAAGGGAAACAAATAACAAAAAAAAAGGTATTTGTTAAAAGAATTCAACCGAGGAGAATAATTGTTTCTATAATAAACAGCGAGACAGAACATCCTTGCGTTTCAATGGCGTACATATGTTCTGTCCAGAGTGGAAAAGAGGAACAAGTAGCGAAAAAAACTTTGGTGTAAAAAGCGAAGCACGATCGTGAAGCTCACGTTGAAAAAAGAAAAAGAAAAAGAGAGAAAGAAAATCGCTTCTTCCGGGCTTTTCTTAATTAACTTTCAAGCTCTTTGCCCAAGCTTACCTTCATTAACTCGAAAAAAACCCTTTTCCTCATCTTTACAAATTTTCAGCCCCATTTCAACTCGACCTCTTTTATTCGCTCTATTTACGCGCCGCGTTTCCTCTGTATTCCACGAGGACCGTAAGTCTCCCCTTGTCGTCCTTTCTTTCTCTCCGTATCTTTTCTTCTTCTTCTACTCCTTCTTCTTCTCCTTCTTTCTCGTTTTTTATTAGACTTGCAAACGAAAGAACCCGGAGCGCAGTCTGCAGAAAGGTGTTGGCAATTGGCGCGCGGAGACAGCGCTTTAAAGTGAGCACCGAGTCGAAAATGGAGAAGAAATAAGACTAAATGGAGAGGAATCGGTATCGGTAGGTCTCTGTCGCGTCTCTTCACTTCCTTCTTCTTTCTCCATTTTTATTACACTTGCAGACGAAATAACCCGAGAGCGTATTCGAATCGGTGCTACCTGCAAGAAGAAATAAATAGAGAGAAGTGGACATTTGCGTGGAAAGTTGTAGGAAAGCTATTGAAATCGCGATGTTCCAAGCGGTTCCTTCACAGGGATCAACTTTTTCATCGTATTTCGCGCGAACGAAGCTGGAAAGTTTACCGGCTCGATAAATTGTCAGCGTCAGCTGTACCTGGCATCGAAACACGAACAACTTCACTTCGCCTACGAAACTAGATCGCGCGATTAAATCCTTCCATTCATTGGTTTTTCCACTAACTTCCGCTCTCGTCCGCTTCCTTCCATCAGTTATGCCAACTTTCACCATATTACGGTTCGCGCCTCTTTCATCTGATATTTCCCTAACATCGAAGTGACTTCAAGCGCACGGCTTTGCTTCATCAGACAGCAATCAGAAATTTGGTATCGTTTGCTTTTAACGATGATACCAGATGGACAAAATTTATAGAATTACTTGAGAATTTTGCGGACTGTCATAAATGATCGATTCAGTATGCAGGTTCAATTGCATTGAATGATTGATGTATTCTTAGTGAAAGAGAGTACATAGATCTTTTTATTCTTATATTAGTGTAGTAAAAGTAAAAGTACATAAAAGTATTAGGTTGGCAACTATGTGATTGCGGAGTTTGTCACTAAGTGGTAATGAAGGTTGGAAGTGAATTAGGGTTAGAAGTTTCACTCGCTTGATGATGTTGATAGAGTACCGACTTTGGGCTGTATTTAAGGCATAAATAGTCGTATGGCAAATATCATATAATTGAGAGATTTTAAACATCTACAAGTTTCTTCCTTTCTGCTACGTTCTACGTATTGAGGTTAGGTTGAGGTTAAGTGATCTGCAAATAAGTAATTGCGTGATAAGTGACACTTAGTTGCCAACCCAATAGTCCTATTGAACCTGATTAGATCATGCACCTACTACATCGAAATTGTATTGTAATTATATTAAACATATGAAAGCCCTCCCAATTCTTAATATCGTAAACTGTCAATTTATAAGTATACAGAACCACGGCATGAGAAAGCAGTGAGAAAATTATCAACAACAATAATAATCGAGAATAATGGAAACATCAAATGAAACTAAACAGAAGCTTCGTTTAATCCAGCATCGCTTATTCGACATCGTCCAACATCGAAAGATAAACTCGTGGAATAAGAAAGGCATAGCGTAGATGATCAAGTTACACAGAAGTCAAGTCGGTAAACATCGCCTATACTAATCATGTGATGTTTGAAAGATTAAACAAAAGAAAGATTCAGCCAGTTGAATCAATCTGCAATGAACAAAATAAATATCGCGAAACCTTCCATCATCGCCAGGCGCAACAACATTGCAAAACGCAAACGATTGAATAAATATAAACAAATGAACGACGAATCACGGCGGGGAGCGGCTGTCGAAAGT